GTACAATAATTTGGACTAACATCCGAGCACTTTCAACACTAAAAAATAAAGTAGGGCGCTATCGTGACATTCTGGGGCATCCTCGCTAAGCCAAGGTGGCGGAAGTAACTTTGCAGAAAATCAAATTGCTCACGCAGTTTGGAGTACATGTCTCACTCCCCGCCCAAATTTTAATCCCCTTCTTAACAGGAAAGTTTTACGCCGTTTCACATGCCTTGCCACCAGAATGCCCCCGTATCTTGCGATAGTGCCCGAAGTAGTAAGTTAGTTAACATCCCTATACCAACCTCTTTTCATTATTTTAGCCTGCAACGCAACTTCGGTGATGAAAGAAGGAATTTCATCGCTCTTTGTCACAACTGCCATCCAACTTATAAAAACTGGTGCTACCGTAGTTGAGGGGGGGGGGCACGCGGCGGCGCGGCGTCTGTTCGTCTGTGCTCTCCAAGGCTTAGTCCTGAGGGGCCACTGTATTTCGAAACTGCGTCGCGGCGGCGATGGAAACGGCCCCTCAGGACTAAGCCTTGGAGAGCACAGACGAACAGACGCCGCGCCGCCGCGTGGCCCCCCTCAACTACGCTAGCACCCGTTCGACTCCCTTCTAGCGACCTTCCAAAGTGAGTTTTTTGTTTGATGACTCTTCATATGCTCTTGAGCTAGTGCATCATTTCTATTTCATTAGTATTGAAGGTAAAACACTGCAGGGACTAGTGTTTTGACTTTTTTTTGAGGCAAACCCCGGGATTAGCCCGACTTGTGGGAAGGATACCGCGAGGGAAATTGTAAGGTCCTACCTACCTAGATCACTCCAGCTTCGCCGCAAAAGTTGCGCGGTTAGGGCGCTAATCCTTACGGGCCTGCAACCATCGACCCCGTTGCAACGCTTCCCCACCCACCTCGATATCGGCGTGCTCTCTCGAACGGCGTGATCTCTCGCGTGTTTTGTCTTCTTTGACCGCCCTGCCTCGCCATCGTTCCACATCCGACCTTTTTGAAGGTTAAGGCCTTAATTTCAGCGATCCCAAAGATTTCTCTAGCTTTCCTTTCCACTTTCAGGCCGTCCGCAGCTCAGTCATCACTACGAAGCGCTCTTATCACCGGTTTATCCCGGGGCTTGCCTTGATGAGCGGAATTAGTGCACTGCTGTACATGGCGCAGCTTAGCACGCGTGCTGTCAGGAAATCAAATCCCAGATCGTGCCTTCCTGGTCAAACAATTCTTATATCCTCAAGGGTCGACTGATTGGTACAGGATCTCGGAGGGCAGTGACTTGCACTACCGCAGTTCACTTTGTAGGCCATTAGGAATCTATAGGAATTCAAAATACTACTACGGTTGTGAATGGAACTGGAAAGCACTTTCCTCCTCAAAAGAGATTCGTCTACATTGTTCCTTCCGCTTATTTCGATATATTCCTAATTTCAATGACTCACTGCCTTGTTGTCGTTTGAAAGGCATTCCTTGGTACTGCAAAACAACGGATCTCCCCGTACTCGTTGTACAACGTTCGTTTTGAACAGCGATAGATAAGTCTGATTAGCGACACTGGCATCAAGATCGAGCTGAAATAAGGCGTGAGTTCCAATAGACTGATTTATTGTGTTGGCTCAACGAAAAGTTCCATAACACTCGCGAAAAATACAGAATCTGTTTTCACACGAACCTCGTTAACCGGCCAGCCGTCTCACAGCAACGCCAGCCGTAGTCCAGTAGTACTCCCACCAAGCAGGGTCAACCGTCCGTTGGTATGACATCATCGAAGCAGGCGGTGTAGATGGAGCTGGTAAGCGATTCAATTCGTCCAGTAGCGCCGCAGCGCGATGGGACGTTCAGCCGCAGCTAGAAATTCATGGTTCTAGCATGGGAGAATGTACGATTAGATGAAATTTCCAGTCGTGAAACATGGTATATGATCACCTGCCCCCTTAAAGTACTGGTTCCTTGTCCCCTGTCATTATTTACAAACTTACCTCTATACTAATGTTGGTGCCCTCCTCACCGTTCCACTGCGTCTTGGGACGTAATATTTTCCGATTTGAGCCAGATTATCGCTTTTTGATAATAATTCAGGCAGCTGACTAATAAAGGAGTCAAATTATGTTAGAGTGCAAATTTACCATTAAGTCCGTGACCCATCTGCAAAACATCCCCCACAGCTACAATACATCTCATACCTACAATCCCAGGCCTTCGTCAAATAATTTGACTCCTTCGATTGTAGCTGCCTGATATTATTGTAAAAAAATCAGATTGGCTCAATGGAAATTATTTACGGTCCAGACGCAGGGTTGCGACGGTGAGAGAGGGCCTCAGTAGTTAACATAGTATGACAGAGGTAGGTTTTGCAATAATGACAGACAAGATTCAGTACTGTACACGATCAATTACATTCACACCGGCGAAATCCATGGAACCAACGCCACCAACACCCACACACGACAAGGCTCTGTTCAGTGAGACCCGGCTTAAAATACTGCCGAGCTTAAAGGAATCTTCCACGGACCATGGACCAGTGGGCGGGACCGGAAGTTTTTGTGACGAAATGCATGGTAGGTACGGATCCACGTGTCGAACGCACGAACGTGAACAGGATTCACTTCAAACCTTCCCATGAACGTGGATCCGTACCTACCATGCATTTCGTCGCAAAACCACTTCCGGTCCCGCCCACTGGTCCATGGTCCGTGGAAGATTCTTATGTGGTACGCTTGTTGGCTCCACTGATGTGTTAGGACTTTTGGTCTTGTCAGTTTCTCTAACCCACCAGCTTCGTTATAGACAAAGACTGTAAGCCAAGAACTTACAAAAAAACAACCCGCACAGCTGCTTCGCGCTTTCGACGCTGCCGTCCGCGGTAGCGGCAAGTTGACCTCATTTGGCGGCGATTGGAATTGCACGGTCTCGGGTCGTATTTGACAAGTTTTGGGAGGCGAATATGATTTCGGTGAATTGAGGGAGGGCGTCTTTGACAGTGTTTCTGGAGACCATATGTGAGCTAAGACCATGGAGAGGCTTTGCAGGTTTTTATGGTCCAGAATCAATTTATATGAAACATCATAGCGGTAAGCGGCAAGGAGCGATGTGTAGTATTCGGCAATTTGTAAGTGATAGTTGATGAGTGGTTGTGTGTACCGGCGATTGTCCCAAGGGTCCCGTTCTGCGCGGCGAAGGCGAAGGACGAGTCGCAGCGCGTGCTGTGCGATATGAGACGTAGTATGGTACAATCTATTTGACCTGACGCCTAACCGCTACAGTATGCGCTGCGACTCGTCCTTTGCCGCGTCTGCGTCTCTTCCTTCGCCGCGCGATGGGCCTCTTGGAGGACACCCGTAAACGTAGACCCCCTCTGCGAGGGGGGGGGGGGGAGGGAGGATCGTTAAAACCTCGAAAAAATACTAATGCTAGGGTTGACCCTACCACCTGATTAAAGGGTAGAAGCCAAGGTCAGAAAACATTTTGCTCAACTTAACGAATGATTTTACCGCGATCACGCGCTTTGCAGCTTCCCTGGCAATCGCATCCAAACCGTCTGCGTTCTTGTTCTCGGTGTCTTCCCAAAAAGCGGTGAGTCCGCTCGAAACTAGAACATCATTAAAAAGAATAACCCCCGGAGCAAACCACCACTTTAGCGAACGTTCGGCTCCGAGGTAACCGTAATGAGATAAACTCTGCAATGTTGAACAAACACTGCGTTCATAACAGCCACCTACAAAATGCTCGAGTAATCAGAGTTCCTAAAATTTTTGAAAAGCTGTCCATATAGGAAATGCCATAAGTTTAGTCGCAAATTTCAAAATCAACTTCAAATTCCAGCTTGAAAATCAAAAAATTTATGCTCATTTTTATGAGAAGAAGGTCCATTTAGCTACATTTCTCTAGCAGAAATGACTCGCTTTTCGCGGTTAATTCTTTCCACAAGCGGAGTTTTCTTTCATTCTCCACTAGAGAATGATCTTGGAGGACTCCAAAAAGGAGCATAAAATTTTTTGAAGTATCAAACATGGAATTTTATACTAAAGTTTGAGTTGCGATCAAATTTGTCGCATTCGCCATCTGGAGTTTTTCAGAAGTTTTAGAAGCCTCACGTTTCCGAACAATTTGTAGATGGCTCTATTATATCATGAAGCGCAGTGAATATAAAGTAACGGTCAAAACAACTTCATTGGAACAGTTTTTCGTGCATTACGATTTGTTCTCTCGAAAAATCTTTGACATTCATCTCAAAATTTTCTTCCAAATGCCTTCAATTTCTAAAAACACGAAGGTTTCAAATACAATTGGAAAATGAAAGAGAGAAAGAAGAAGAAAAAGAAGATGGAAAAGAAAAAAGAAAGAACGAGATAAGGAAGATA